CCGAGGGGGGGCGCGCCGGCAGCGATCGGGAGCGAGCGGGCCCGGCCGGCTCTGGGGACTAACCGGCCTGGCCTGTCTTCGGGACCCAGCACTACCGAGCAGCCCAAGAGCCGTTCGGATTTTCTATAAAACGACTCTTTTGCAGACGATTTCCTTTTTTTTTTTTTTTTTTAACTTGGGAAAGGGACGGGAGGCACCCGGCCAAGTCCCCGGGGTCCCAGGAAACGCCGAGGGCCTGTTTACACAAACAGGGGTGACATGAATGGGATGAGTCACAGCGCGGGAAAGAGGGGGCAGTGTTTACACAAGAGAGAGCAAAGCTTTTGGGAAGATGGATGGCCGGCCGGCCCTGGCTGAATGAGCAAGCCCAGGTGGCTGTCAGCAGCTGCAGCAGAAACCGGGGCACGGCCGGAGAAGCAGAAACATCCTTTCCCAGTGAGGCCTGCCTCTGCTAGCTCAAGCACCGGGGCAGCTGGGAGAAGGTCGCCCTAAGGCAGAAGGGCAGGACCTGCTGCACGTGGTCCCCCGTGCAAGGAGGACACCACCCAGCCTTATGTTTGCGCCTGGTTTTCTCTCTCCACTGAGCAGCCACCTTGGGGTAGGAGCCCTTAAGCTGACGCGCCGCCCCGTCCCGTGCCCGGGAGGCCAAGGCAAACCGCTCGGCGCCTTTCACAGGCCGGACGTCTCCATCTGGTCTCCGGGCAGCCCCAAGGAGAAAGCCATGGGCGAGCGCTCCCGTTCCCTGAACGCTATCGCAGAGGAACAGCTTCGGGCGCTCGGGGCCGGAGACTTGGCAGAGGGGCTGGAGCCATTTCAGGCTCCACCTCAGCATCTGCTACGACCATGGGGTTTTCCTGGCCGGCAGCGGTGCTTCGCGTGGGTTTGACGGTAAACACGCAGACAAGGCCTTGCTCCAGGCAGGGGCTTATGCACCTTATTGAATTTGGGCAGCAGGAGCGGTCCCCCGAAGCTCAGAGTGCAGCGTCAGAGACCGCAGAGGTTGTGCTCGCGGGCTTGCTGCAGCCCGCGGTGCACCGCAGCATCTGCCTCTCAACCAGAGGCAAGAAGTCTCTCCTGCCGCTTCAGGGACTTTTACAAACTGTTTCCTAACCCCCGTATGAAAGTGAAGTGGAGGGGAGTCCGGAAAGCTAATAATTGTTATTACTTTTCAGATCTTCTCTTTGCTTTTAGGGCAGACTACAATGTTTCGTCTGCAAAACGCTACCGGGTTCCTTTCCGCAGAAGACTTGCAAACATCTTTGCAGCGCTTTCAGACAGAAAAGCCCTGGATAATTTTCAAAATAGCTTGGGAAAAAACTGATCTTTGCATAGAAAAAAAAAAAAAATCAGATGCGTATAAATACCGTTGCCGCTTCCCCGGGAAAATTAAGCTGCTGCTTCTCTCCGCCCGTAACCATAAATCCCGCCACCGCTTCTCCATTCGGATGATGTTTTTAAGAAACGCAGTTGGACACAGGTATCAACGTGTTCAGGCGCCGGATATTTATTACACGTTAATACCCATTAATAAGGAAACCGTTAGCAGTTGCTGCCAGGTTAGCCCCCAACCCTCCGGGCGGCCGCCCCCGCGCCCCCCCATCGCC